TTAAATCGATCAAAAAGGTACGCCATATCTTTATGTCTTGAAAAACAGAAAAGCATGTTTTTTGATTAATTTATGAGTGCAAATAACATTAAATATTGAAAACAATAATGTAAAAATCATTATTGTTAAATATAGTTAATAAATACATCTGAATATAGTGTTTAATGTTATTTGCACTCATAAATTAATCAAATAACCTGCATTTCTGTTTTTTCAAAGGTATGAACATAAAATAAAATAAATCAATTTTTATATAAAAAATTCGATTTTTATTGTTTTTGAATATGGCGTACTTTTTCGATGGACTGAATGATAAAAGGTTATTCTGCATTGGAAATGACATAAAAAAGTGTTTATTTCAATATTGTTCTAGAATGTTACCATAAAAAAAGATAATTTCGGAAAAGGTTGCCTGTTTTTAATGATTATCATAAAGATTATCAGCTGTTACTTTTTCCGAGTAAAGGCGTTATATATCTTTATAACGTGTATAAATTTCATTCAAATCAGTTAAGCCGTTTTTCAGAATAAAATATTTTCTGATTTTTCGTTTTTTTTTTGGATTTATTCAAAAATTAAAACAGATAGAAGTCTAAAATTTTTAGGATTAATGTATCTCATTAGTACAAATGTTTGTAAGTAATAATGTAAATAATCTAGATATCCCTCTGGGGCCTATTAACTGTACTTATCGTCCTATGGTTTTTTAAAAAGAAATAAGGAATAATCTAACATAATACACAACTTAATTAGAATTCCACCACGTTTTCGTAATTCTAAACTTGATGAGGTAATAGACACCTAACTTCCTAAATCAAAAAGCTAATAAATCCTAGGTATTAAATGTCTACCGTTCTTGTTACAATCATTTTTTTTTAAGGATGATATAGGTACCATTCGTTTACATAATATTTTCACAACAATAAATAATTGAAAAAGGAATTGTTAATTCCGTCAATTTGTTCTATTAAAAGTTAAATTTTTAGTATACCAAATTTTAACTACAAAAAAATGTACCATTTCTCTTAAATATTATTAAAAAAATAATTTTCATCACTCAATTGACTTATTATCTCAAACTGTGAATACTTAGGAAAATAGATTTTCATATAATTATGACTACAAATATATGAAAATAAATGTGGCAACGTCTTACTAATATTTTGCAAGTCAGATGCCATAAATGTTTATTATACAATTGTTTGGTGTTAAATCACCGAAACGTATTTTTCCTGAGATAGTACTGATAAGAAAGAATATGAAATCCATGTCAAAATTGCAATTGGTAAACTAGTAATTTTGTAAACGATTGCGCATCTAAATTATAATTCTATTTCTTATCGATTATCTATTTTTTTCAACTACATATTTTGATCATAGGGTTTAATTTCAGCTTTGTAGTCAAAATTGGTGCAGCTAAACAGTTGTTGTTACGAAATTCTGAAATTAATTTCCTAAATATCCATTAATAATAAATTGCTAATTTTGTACCAAGGCGTAGAACATAATCTTTTTTTGAAAATTTTAAAATTGCCTTAACCTAGGTTAGGATTAAGGTGGGCTATGTTGGACTGCGATTCAATAAGTATTTAGGGTTACATGTTGATATTTCGAAGTACAACTCGAAATTCTGAGATGCCAGTCGAAATTTCTAATTGCAAGACAAAAATTCGAGATGCAAATCGAATATTTGAGTTACAAGTCGAAGCTTAAAAGAAAATATGTTTGGCCCTTCTACGCTTTCATAATTTTGAGATATAAGTATGACCTAGAACTAAGCATAGGTATACTAACAATAAGCATGAGCATATGCCAATCTTACGAATGTTGAATTCGAATATCCTTTAAAATAAGTGATGAAATATATTTACATTTTACTAAATTTTAATAAAGGAAATGGTATTTTTACTTCAACTACCACCAAATTCATATTTATAGAATATCCATAAAGACTAAACACAGTTCCCTCGTTCAACAAGTACACGATTTTAACACTTTATTCTTTATCATTATTCATACGCGGTGAATCATAACTGTTCTTTTGTATGAAAATTCCCTTTTGAAAGTATAATGACCTGTTATCGATGGAATATGCTATAAATATATTTTACGTAATCGAAAATGCACCTATTGTTGTCATTGAGGTTAGCACCATTCAAGTAGACACGTAAATGTTTTGAGAATAATTTACACTATAATTGTATTTGTATATATATCGTAATGTAATATGGCTAATGAATAACACATAGAAAAAATTATTAACTAACACTGATTGTTAAATTTCAAAAGAATAATTCATTTACAATCGTTACAAGTTTTTCGCTACGTAGTAGCTTCATCTCAGACGATTAATTACAAACGTATAATAATTTCACAATTAGCATTTTGTTTTTATAATTTGTTCAATAGCAAAGTACTTAGTTCAACAAAAAGAAGTCACTTCTATGCACGCTAACGGTTAATTTAGAAATTCGAAAAAAGATTCTTAAAGATATATGTTTAGAGCGTGGCGCTATACGGGTGGGAAACGTAGACGGTGGGCGCGACGGAAAAGAAAAGGTAGAAGCGTTCGAAATGTGGTGTTACAAGCGAGTGACAAGGATATCGTGGGTAGAAAAAGTTAGAAATGAAGAGGTATTAGAATGAATAGGTGAATAGAGGACTTTATGGAAGACGATAAGAAATAAGCGAGATAGGTTGATAGGACGCACCTTCTGAGGCATGAAGGGAAAGTCAGAGACATGTTAGAGGCAAAAACAGAAGTTAAGAGAAGTAGATATAGACCTAGGTTAGATTACTGTTCGCAAATAGTTAAGGATGTGGGCTGTTCTAGTTTTAGGGAAATACGAATATTAGCGCAGGATAGAAAACAGTGGAAATACGTGTCCAACCATTCCTAGGATTGGCGACTTTATGATGATGATGAAAGTACTTAGTTATTTTCTTCTGAGCTCATCACGTGTCAAAAACTGTCTTCATCCATCACCTCATATCCTTTTTATTTTATAAATATTTCAAAATGTAGATTACAAATGTGGACCATTATATCAGAATTTTCATAAAAATATAAATCAGTGTCCTCTCCAAAAGTCTCCGCCCCAGGTTTAAACTGCAGGTTAATGAGAGTTTATTGTTTATATGTATATATTTTAAAAATGCATAAATTGATTGAAGAGCCTATATTAGTATCTGTTATTTGTTCTTCCTTCAGGGTCCGGAATTTTCGTTTCACCCTCAGGGCTTCTCGAGAGAACCGGCTCGATTGGAATGAGCTTCGTTATATGGATGGCTTGCGGCTTCCTATCATTATTGGGTAAGTGATCGAGCACGCAATATGTAGCTTTTTAAGGTGTTATTTATGCTTGCTACTATCCAAGTCGTTAATCATGTTTCCCCAACTCCGACAAACTATTTTGCCACATATCGAATTGTGCATAGTAATGATGACTTAGAATAAACTATCTCGAGTTGTATTTGAAATAAAAAGCGCTAAAAATCCAAAAACGCCGAACTAGTGAAATCGCCGTAGTCTCTCAATCTTTTCAAATCTATAATCAAACCAGTCTTGCACGTTTACTAGCAATGTTTAAGGATATGGGAGATCTAACACTAAATTTTCAGGCAAATAGTTCATCTTTTTCCGGTTCTACACCCCGAAGCAGATTGCAGCCACTTTTTGGGTTATGTCTCTCACAATATTTATCTATTGGGATCTAACAAAATGGTGGCTTTTATAAAGATGACGGCTATAAAATAAACTTTTTAAAAATAGTAGATACCTATTAATTTCTATAAAGAAGAATTTTAAGCGCTAGTTACATCGTCAAATGTGCTACTCCTCACAAAGTATTACTTTATAATGGTTTAACTTTCTGCAACCAGACGTCGGTGGCCTAAGGATTCGTAAAATCCTAATTAGGTATTTTATTCTTAATTGGCTGCGTTTGGAATTTGGAAATTCGAAGGAGATTATTAGAAGTATATACTTCAATAACAGCTCTGTACTGGTGCAGAACGTAGACGGTGAGGGTGGCGAAATAGAAAACATGTTTAAGATGTAAAGTTGCTGGTTGAAGGTGGGAGATGAAAATACTGTGGACAAAAAATGTTAGAAATAAAAAGACATTGGAAAGAGTCGGAGGGCGGTATAGTAAACAATAAGAAAAAGGAGAGTTAATGGCAGATCACCTTGAGAAGCATGAAGGGCTATTTGGAGTCAAGTTAGAAGCAGAAACGGGAGCAAAGGGGGGCAGATGAAGACCTAGATTAGACTGCTGCATTCACAAATAGTTAAGAATGTGCAATGTTCCAGTTTTCGCATGTACGTGTCTAGGCAATCTTCAAATTATCGAATAAAGTTAAATTAAAAGGATATACAAGATCTGTTCAAAAAGTATCGCGAATTTTGTGTTTTTTCAAAAATTGTTTATTCATGAATATCTCTTTTGTCCCCTTCAAAGTAATCCCCACCAGATATTATACACTTGTGCCAACGTTTTTTCCAATCCTCGAAGCACTTCAAAAAATCAGTTTTTACTATCTTGTTCAGCTCCTCCTTCGATGTCGTCTTTATCTCCTCAATCGTAGCGTAGCGTCGTCCTTTTATAAGCCTCTTCAGTTTCGGGAACAAGAAAAGGTCACAGGGGGCCAGATCTGGGGAATACGGTGGCTGCGGCTTTATTAGTGTGTTGTTTTAGACACAAGCAACAATGTGTGATCAGGGACGTTATCATGGTGCAAATGCCAATTTCTGTTCTTCCATAAATCCGGGCATTTGGGGCGGATTGCTTAGCGCAAATTGCGCATGATTTATAGGTAATATTCCTTATTGACCGTTCTACCCTATGACAAGAAATCCTGATGTATCACTTGCAATCGACGAAAACTGTAAGCAAAATCGTCACATTCCATCAAACTTGGCGCGCTTTTTTCAGTCTTGGCTCGTGCGGCAGCTTCCATTGGGATGATTGAGCCTTGGTTTCCATGTCATAACCATAAACCCATCATTCGTCACCAGCTATGATCCTCTGAAGCAAATTTGGGCCGTGGCGTCCAACAGCTCCTTAGCAATGTTAATGCGATGCCGTTTTTGGTCGAAATTGACCAATTTTAGTACGAATTTCGCGGCGACGTATCTCATGACCAAATCATTGGTAAAAATCGAATGGCAGGAACCAATCGATATGTTTAAGTCCTCAGCAACTTCTCTATTTTATTTATGTATATCATCAATATTTTCGTCTGTTGTTGACGTGCTAGGGCGTCCGGCACGTTCTTCGTCATTCACATCTTCTCGGCCCTCTGAGAACATTTTGTACCACCGACAAACGTTGCTTTGGTCAAAGGTACAAAGTTTTACGATATGCCACAATCAACATGTGGAACGCGTCCGCGCACTTAATTCTGTTTTTCACACAAAATTTGATAGATTCTTTGATCCATATTTTGGAATAGGCAAAAATCGAGGACGAGCCAAAACACATATAAGCAAAGCAGCTGTCAAAAATTAACTGAACATTCAACATGGTCGAACTTGTCGGTATAAGTGAGAGACATGAATACCAAGATAACGCCACAAAAAAAATCTAAAATCGAATATACGTAACCCGCGGAAATTCAAAATTCGCAATACTTTTTGAACCGATCTCGTACATGACAAATAGGAGTACCTATATAATACATACACCTCTTATGTTGCCGTATATTTCAAACCAAAATTATGCACAGTACCTATGAGTTGCTTATTTTCTTTTTTATAAATTAGAGAAGGAATTGGTTAGCTCGTTCTCTCTTTTTTGTATAAGCCGGTAGGCCGTTTTGAGTGATTAATTAGAGGTCAGGGTAATTATTCTCGGATATCCATTTCAGGGGCTCTTGCCTACGCTGAATTGGGCACCATGAATACATCATCCGGAGCAGAGTACGCGTACTTCATGGATGCATTCGGAGCACCACCGGCGTTTCTCTTTTCATGGGCCAGCACACTAGTTTTGAAACCATCACAAATGGCAATTATTTGTCTAAGCTTCGGAAAGTATGCCGTCGAAGCTTTTGTAAGCGAATGCGAACCACCTGACATAGTTGTTAAAATGGTAACACTATTAACCCTGGGTAAGTCTGAATTTTAAATAGTTACAGCATCTAATATAAGCACCTACATAATTTGATAATACTGTGTATGTTGCGACCATTTTATAAACTAATGTCTCACATTACCTAAATGATAAATTCTTGGCTCATTAAATCCACAAATGAAGGTTGTATTCCTCTTTTCATTTTTTCAACGGTTTAGCGCGTTTCAAAAAAGATTATGCCGAAACATAGGAATGAATATAGGGTTTCCATAGCAGAATTAATTTTCGGGCTGATACGCCGTAATCGAAATGAAAGATTAAGTCCAAACGTGTCGTCGGCAACTGCGGCTGACATTTTCAGTGGAAATTAACAATCCTTTTGGTTACTTTACAGCATTATCTTTGCTATTTTTGACATATTTCATATCGAAAATCTTTAATTTATATGTAGAGGATGTAACGTAAATAAGTTCTGAATTTTAAAAGGTGTCAAAACTACATACAGTAGGGAATAGTATCCTGAGTACCACAACATGGTTACGGATCAAACAAATCTGAAACCACAACCTATAACTCAAAGCCGGTCCTGAGTATGATTTTGCATCGAGGGTGTAGTAGGTACAACTCAACCGTTCGGTTGAAATTGCGATAAAGACAGAGAAGCAGTAAACTAAACAACGATGGTTATAAACAACAACTTTCCAATTTCTTATCGACGAGTTAAAAATAACAATTGCTCAAAATTAGAATCGCGTGCTAGAAGACAGTCTTTAAGACGTCTACCAAATTATTATTGCCGCCTACCCGAAAACGTCGAGCATTTGGCGAATTTTATTTGCAGCGATTATCACATCGTCCTGCACACTGTTCACTGCCATTTGATACACGCGCTATTTCATGCAAAGAAGTCATTCGGAGTTAGATCCGGAATATCAAGAATGGAAAAATTGGCGTCTAAAACCACTGACACAAATCCACTCGCGACTAAAAATCACTGCAAGGCTTGCATTCGCTATAGCAAATGCTCCTTTAAAATTCGTCCCACTGTCGCATAAAAAGGAGCCAATTTTCAGCGCTATTTGGCGTATACTGCTTTGAGGGTTAAGTTTTATGAAATCAATGATCTTCATAAAGTCGTCAATCCTAAGATTGGTTGGATACGCACCTGCACTCCTTCCTATCCTGAGCTGAGGTATCCTACTTACCCCACCTATTTCTTGATGACTCATAGAGTTGTCTGTTCTCATATAACTTCTAATACCTCTTCATCCTTACTACTCCTCCCATCCTGACTTATCTGGTTTCCTAGATACTTAAAATCAGCCGTTTCTTCTAATTTTTCGTCTCCTATCTTCATATTTGCTCTTTCCTTACCTTTTCTTCCCTTGCATACCAGTATTTTTGTTTTACTTTTATTTATTCTCATACAATACTGTTTTGTCAATACCGCTTCCATTTTATTTAATGCTATCTCCAACTCCTCCTTGCTAGATGCTAATACTGCTTTATCATCTGCAAATCTAAGCATATACTAATCTTTTGCTCCTGTATATCTATCCCTACAGTTGTGTTGTCTTTATGACGTTGATCGTTTTCGACGTATAGATTAAAAATTAGCGGTGACACTGTGCATTCTTGTCTAACTCCCTATATATAAGCTCTATAAATGCCTGTTGCTCTTTACACAAACTAAGTATCACCCTTCTAACTCTGTAACTCATTCCTACATTTTTAAGTATATTTAATGAAATTAAGAAATATAAATATTGAAACGGTGCAATTCGGTAGCTCTAGTCTATTTCCCGGTTTCCATCCTCCTTTCTCCTCTCCAGAATGGCTCCTTAAATTGGCAATTCCTGATACTCTAGCAATAATAAATCAGCTACTGGTCTTGGAAGACGTGACGTTGCGCACAGAAATAACAACAACTGTTCTACAGTGATACACTGACCTATTCCAATGACCGGGTTGATTAAATGTGGCGTTGCGTTGGAAAACGTATTTTTCTGCATAATTTATCAGGCCCGGAGTGACTCAGACCTATACTTTTGGTTACGTTTTTCTCGAAAACAGCGAACGTTCAGACCTGCAAACATTTATTTAATTTGTACCCCTACAAGCTCCGCACTTTTTTCAGTTGCACCCTGTATATCAACCAGGCGCATTCACCAAATTTCAGTAAAACTATTTTATAAAATACTTAATAAATGTCAGTTATGAGAAGCCTCTGTTACAAAATAATTATTAATAGTATAATAGGATTCATTACTTTGCAATTACGTATAAGACTAAAAATTTTATAATTAGAAAACAAAATTGATATTGGCAAATGCCTACAGAACACTATTGCATGCATGTCCAACTAAAACACACCCGTGATTTATTTTATTATATTAGTAAGACTAACATTAGTTTTTATTTTTTTTCAGTTGTGATCTTGTATGTGAATTGCTATAGCGTTAACTTAGCCACAAGTGTACAGAATGTTTTCACAGCAGCCAAACTTGTAGCAATACTTATTGTTATATTAGGAGGAGCGTACAAGATAATCGAAGGTATGACATTGAATTACTTCAGTGATTCCCAATAAGAAAAAAAAAACAACAAAAGTTGGCAGATTTTAGTAAAGATAGACAGGAAATATTTGGGAATCACTAGTTATATTACCTATTTATATCTCAAAAAAAAAAAAATGGAAAAGTTTTCAGTTAGTAAAATTAAATTTCAGGTAACGTGCAACACCTTCAGCACCCATTCAGAGGCACAAAATACAATTTAGGAAACATCGCGACCGCTTTTTACACCGGTCTTTGGGCTTACGATGGATGGAATAACCTGAATTATGTAACAGAAGAAATCAAAAATCCTTCAAAGTAAGTAAATATCATCATTATCATAAGGTCGTCAGTCCTGGTTGGACACGCACTTCACTCTTTCCTATCGTGAGCTAAACTTCGCATTTCCCTTAAACTAGAATAACCCACATCCTTAACTATTTGCGAACAGTAATCTAATCTAGGTCTACCTCTACCCTTCCTAACTCCCGTTTCTGTCTCTAATATGTCTCTGATTAGACCTTCATGCCTCAGAAGGTGTCTTAAGAACATATCTCGCCTATTTTTTATTGACTTCCATAGAATCCTCTGTTCTCCTAGTCTTTCTCATCATCATAAGGTCGTCAGTCCTAAGACTAGTTGGACACACACCTCCACTCTTTCCTATCCTGAGCTAATCTTCGCATTTCCCCAAAATTAGAACAACCCACATCCTTGACTATTTGCCAATAATAATCTAATCTGGGCCTATCTCTACCCCTCCTAACTCCTGTTTCTGCCTCTTGTATGTCAAATAGACCTTCATGCCTGAGAAGGTGTCCTACCAACCTATCTCACCCATTTCGTATTGACTTCCATAGAGATATTATCTTTCATACACACTCATCATCATCATAAGGTCGTCAGTCCTAAGACTGGCTGGACACGTACCTCCGCTCTTTCCTATCCTGAGCTAAACTTCAATTTTCCCTACAATTAGTACAACCCACATCCTTAACTATTTGCGAACAGTAATCTAATCTAAGTCTACCCCTACCCCTCCTAACTCCTGTTGCTGCCTCTAATATGTCTCTGACTAGATCTTAGTGTTTGAGAAGGTGTTCTACCAACCTATATCGCCTATTTCTTATTGACTTCCATAGAGTCCTCTGTTCTCCTATTCTTTCAAGTACCTCTTCATTTTTAACCTTCTCAATCCACGGGATCCTCATCATTCGTCTGTAACACCACATTTCGAACGCTACTAATATTTCCTTTTCCTCAGGGCCCACCGTCCATGTTTCGCATCCGTACAGCATCGCCCTCCAAACAATCCTTTTCGAATTTCTAAATTAACCGTTCGCGAGCATGGAAATGACTTCTTTTTATTGAAAGCGACTCGACCCTGCGCTATCATCTACTTTTATCCCTACTTTTGTTTCCGTCCTGACTCATTTGACTTCCTTTATAATTAAAAACAGTCGCTTCTTCTAGTTTGTCGTCTCCTATCTTTATATTCGCTCTTTCCCTACTTTTTCTTCTCTTGCAAACCACTATTTTTGTTTTACTTTTTTTTTGTTTTCTTACGGTACTGTTTTGTTAATCCCGATTCCGTTTTATTTAAAACTATATCTAATTCCTTCTTGCTAGATGCTAATACTGCTATATCATCTGCAAATCNTTTGTATTGTCTAATGACAAAAAAGCTGTGATTGTTTTATATAGACATTCTATAAAATATTTACTATCAGCATTGCACCCGTGCGAAGCATAATGTACAAATAATATCATTAAACCAATTCCTTAACCCATATCCCGTGTGTTTTGTGTGTTTGAAGAAGTTTCACTTCAATAGCGTGTTGTATAATTACACGTTGTATTTTTTTTATTCCTGTCAAAACCGAACCTAGCCTAACGATTTCGTTTTCTTGTCACATATTTTTAGATGGATTCACCGTATTCACACAAATGCTTTTAGAAGTTGCTCCCACGCAACACACAATCGAGTAAAAAATTAAAAACAACCAACAACTTTCAATGTATACCTAATATTCCAAGTAGTGATCTGCCGAGTAAGAAAATGTCATCGTTTAGTTTGCGATCTGTATTAATTATTTTTGTACGCTTTTTATAATGCCTATCAATTAAATTACTTATAAACAAGAGGAAAACGGCAGCCTTCTGTAGTTGACCGTAGAATAGAAACAAAAGTAAGTACTTTATAATCATATTCAAGAATTGATGTAAAATGCAATATTGTTTCTTTCAAGAAATCAATCCCATGACAGCAATTTGATAGAATAAGATCAAATTATAATGAGAATATATGACATTAATTCATTTGTTATTTAAAACATGTTATTTATATATCAAAGTGCATTTTAATCTTCTGTATCTACAATGAAACAAGTATTTGCCATAAAATGGCCAAGGTTTTCACGGCCGACATTATTTAAATGGAGTTCGATATTTTCAGACTTTATTTTTATTTTCCTCCATCGGTGACATGACCGTTATTGTACTGCTAACTAAAACGAGATTTTTATCTGAACAGTTTTCACTCACATTGAACGATTAATAGCAGGGGGTGGATTTAAAAGGCGAACCAACTTTACGTCCCCTGTTCCGTACGAGTGAAAACGACTGTTCACGTACGAATCTCGTTCGTGTGAACAGTACAAAATCCTTCCGGAAGTCGTTTATCCTTCGTTTCGCCAACAGGGTATTTGGCATTTTCAGGGAACGTAGCGAGGAGGTAAAGTCCTTCTAAGCGATTGCACGGATTGCGAGACTACATATAACTGCATCGAAGGACTCTACTTTCTTGCTACGTTTCCTCTGAGGATGCTAACTACAGCTGTTGACGAAACGTCGGATAAATGACTCCATCGGTCTTTCCATCAAAGGAGGAGATACAATCTTCAACTACGGCCATCAAGCATATCGAGTACTACTCAAGTATTTAGGACATTTAACCAATCCTGGTTATTTTCTTTTCTATTTATTGTAAAATGCAAGATTGATACCTTTTTTACTGTTTTCTTTCTTTGATCCGTATTTTTTTAACTGCTTTTAAAAACTATCTCGAGTTTTCGAATAATCGTATTTCTACAGATATACATACATAAACATAATAAAATTGATAAAAAAATGATATTTTGATAAATCGCATATGCCCTTGTTCAACATCATGTGAGGAAAAATATATATATACCTAAAGAGATATATAATATATACCCAGTTGTGATATGTACTATACATAAAAGAATATGTACATCATTCCTTTAGTTTTCTAAAGCAATTTATTTTTAATTGTATCAAATAAATTGAATTTTAATTTTTGAAATAATTGTTTTATTTTTACATAAAAGATCCCACAGCCAGATTGACTTTTGTGACCAATGGAGATTAAAACTTGACTAAAGATTACTTTTACATATCAATAATCTGATTACAAATTTCCAAAGTTTATTTGCCGAAACTTGGTCAGTTAATTTGATATCAAAATTGCTAGAATTTCAATTATGGTAATAATTATCAACATTTCAAGTATTTTGCCTTCCGACTCCTGTACATTATCGCGCAAAACGGCATACCGTGGAAGTATTTTCGCAAGATATCGTTTCCATTTAAAATTTAAAATATTCTGACTTAAAACAATTGTTAACTAATAATGGCAAGTTTTTGTAAAGAATTAACTTACCTACTTCTTATGGAAATTCTACAGGAACCCTCCGCTGATAAATCACGCACGAAACAAACTCATCAAATGGCGAGCATAGACAAATGGCCGATGTTAAAGTTAAAACAGTTTTCGAATATAGATATGACATTTGAAAATTATGGATTTTGTTAGTCAATTTTTATGTACTATCTATGATTCAAACTATCATTAGTTGCCTTATCTATGTTAGTAACATAACCTCATGCAAATAACCTAACCACAAATAGCAAAACTATAGTTCTTTTTAAATATAAATCAAAAACATTTAACGATTTGTATGGTCCTTTATATTATTAAATACTCAAAATGACTGATAGTAAAACACATTTTATTGCTACAAGAGGTTCAGCTGTCAAGCAAGAAGCTGAGAAGAAATTTGAACATGTTACTTACATATCTCATAAAAAGGTTCCTAAAATTGAAACTGCAAGCAAGTTGAGGTCTACTTCTTCCAAAAATGATGAAACTCAAAGCATTGACATAAAAAAAGCGAAACATGAAGTTGTGAAACTGGGAATGTCTGCACTTGATCCTGTAAAAAAGGAAGAAGCAAAAGTTCAACTGGCAATACGTTTAGGAGCAAAACCACCAAAAAATAAGTACAAAAACTATAAGCAACTGCTGTTGGAGAAGAAGAAAGAAAGTAACGAAATTCAACGACAAAATGTACTTAATCAATTAGGAAAAAATAAAATAGGTAAATCTACAGCAAAAGGTAAAAGTTTTGATAGAAAAAGAAAAAAAGGCAAAGGAAATATTCTAGGATCTTATGGAAAAGTAAAAAAGGCAACATAAACTCACTGAAACAAATACTTATTAATTTTATGTGTAAAGAATTTANGCACTAACAGGGTCAGAATGAGCAGGAAGGGTTTTTAAGCATTTTCCTGTCCGTACATCCCAAATACGAACTGATTCATCGAAGGAACCTGATACTATAAGATTAGATTGGGGATTAAAATTGCAGCAGAAAACATAATTGCTATGTCCTTTCAATGTTTTAAGGCATTTTCCAGAAGACAGTTCCCATATTTTCAATGTTTTGTCATCACTTGCAGACACTAGAAGACATTAATTCTTATTTTATTAAATCTAAAGTTAATTAAAAATGATGTACCTAACAATCTGCTATCACTTGACCATGCTACATCACTTATTCCAAGTTTATGGCCTGATATTGTCTTTTCAAATTTACCATCATAGGCTCCCCAAATTTTGATAAGTTTATCAGCAGCTTAAAAATTTATAAATTAGTCTTAATAAATCACATTTACATTGAAAGGCGTAAACTTACAGGAACTTGCCAACCATTCACCGTTTGGGCTAAATTTAACAGATGAAACTGCTTTTGTATGCCCAGCAAGAGTAAATTTTAAGGTATAATTCGGTTTCTAAAATAAGGAAATAATATATTTTAATTCATGAGTTCAATTAACTGAGAATTGAATAATTCATATCTAATATAACCTCAACAATTACTAGCACGAAAACAATGTACTTTGTAAAATAGTACTTACCAATGAACTGCTATTAGACTTATTAGAAGAACCTGTGGGTGTTAATGAAGAATTTTGTGTACTAGCCTGCATATTATTTTGTCCATGTACCGCTGGTGTTGTACCAAGCGGTAGCATTCCTTATTGTCTACAACTTACTAAAAACCACCTAAAAACACGAAGAATGAGCTATCTCAGAATGAAAACAATCTTCAACTATTACTTTAGGACAAGTATCGTTGAGTTTCCACTTACAATCACTAAATTGTAATATAACTTTTCCAAATTGACCACTTTTTTATCATTTACGTAGCCGCCATTCGTATTTTACAACTTGGTATATTTTAAAATCCATAACTGAGGAACAAATGTATAATACATTATCCATACTTCTCAATACGCCTCTTACTCTCATCCAATTATTTTAAAGTTTAACAAAAGTGTAATTAAAAACAATAATTAACTTAAAAAATGAAAGTATTTACAAAAACTTACATCATAATTATTGTAACAAAATTTAAGTGTTTTTAATTTGTAATATTAGAACAACTGAAAGGACGAAGAGAAATAAAAGATACAGGGTGTTGCATTTCCTTTGCCATTTTTTTAATCAAAACTTAGTTAAAACTAAAGCTAATATTCAAATTTATTTTAATTTAAAGATAGCTCTGTTAATGACAAATACAGTTAACAGTCAGAATGGCTTGCAATAAAAGAATTCGAGATTTTTCGCCAAAAACACAATGCAGAGAGAAAAGAGCTACAGAAGTAATTGCTGAAGAAGAATGTAAACATAAATTAAAATTTCCTCCATGGCATATTCCTTACATGGAAAAACATCGCATTTACGAATTATTTCACGTAAATAAAAGTATCAATTTAAGAAAACAAACCATTTCTTT